TTATGGTGAACTTGATCAACACACAACTTTGTGTACTCGATCTCCTAGTCCTTCACTTGACACTTTGTCAACGAATTTGTCTAATTTCCAAATATGAAATTTCTCATTCATCGTGCAACCAAGTTGCATGATTCCAAGTTTTTATCCAATCGAAACTTGGGCGATGAGAAACTCTCCCTATTTGGTAAATTCTCGACATTTCCATAAATAACATAACTAAGAATCATATCCATTCGTTGTAGAAATATGCAAACATCAATTTTCATAACGATTTCATTGCAAGGAAGTAAACAAATAAATAAATAAGTCAAACAAAATTTATTTTATTTATAAAAGCAGCGGAAAAACATTTGTCCTTACAATGCAAAATCTATTGAAAACTATGTAAAAAGAAAATTTCTAACAACTCTATCATAACTATCTAAGCTCAAAATCCAATCTCCAAGTCCATGCGATCAAGATCCATCTCTTGTGATTAGATTCATCTTGCTCTCTTATCAAGCTTCCTTTCTTTTCACCGATCTTCAAAACATTCAAATACAATCTTATCACATCATGTATTAAGAATCAATGAATAGGAACTTAACGGAGTTAGATAGTGGATTTTACCTGAAGCGTAGTCATACTTTTGACTCTCCTATCTCTTAGATCTCTTAGGTAAATAGGACAACTTCGTCTCCAATGCCCCTTCTCTTGGCAATAAAAGCAAATTGACTCTTTTGAAACAACACATGGAACTACTTCAGACATCACCTTCCTCTTATGATCAAACTTTTCGATCATTACATGTCTTTCATTGCCATTGTCTATATCCATAGAGGTCTTGAAGGCAGATTCACCAATCAAATTTGCTTTTCTATTGCGCCAAACCATTGCTGATTCAGCAGCAATAAGCATATAGGTGAGATCAATAAGGGTCACGCCGTGGTTCATCATATAGTACTCTCTTACGAACTCACTATACGAGTTAGGAAGCGACTGAAGAACCGAATCAACAGCCATCTCTTCACTGACAACGGATCCCATCATTCTTAACTTATCAATGTGTGACTTCATCCCTAAGACGTGTGCACACACCGACTTTCCTTCTTTATGTTTACTTGCCAAAAGGGCTTGAGTGATATTGAACCTTTCAATTTTACAATCTTGTGGGTTAGGGAGAATAATTGGAGGGGGAGGAGGAAGTGAAGCATGATTTCTTGTTCCTCGATCGAATCGTGGAATATCATCTTCATGTGGAATGCTTGTTCCACGGGATTTGGGAAGACCATAAGTGTCGAACTTTGACATCTACAAAACGGGAGAAAACAAATTAAAGTTAGTTGATTGATTGGGTCCTTAGTAAATCACCCAAATGAGATACCAAGACTAGGACCCAACACAATACGCTACAACCTAGAAAAGGGATGCCGTAATCTAGTTGCAGAATATTTGAAGGTAAGTGAATGACGATTCACTAATTTCCACCATGAAAAACGAAAAAGAAATTTAAGTTTTAAATCTATGAAAACTCCTAGATCCTTTGAGATTCATTGAACTTTCAATGGCATGTTTAAATCTCGATATGCCCCTCTTGTTTGTGACTGGGATGCCGAGGATCACAAAGCGGGTGTGAATAACCATGCAAACTTACACGGTATCCTCACATGTTACAGTCACATATTCGATGTGCCGGTAAACCACACACGGTCCACTGAACTATGACAAACATTGAGTCACCCTTTGCTACCTTTGCTTAGAACCATTTAGTGTGTCGGTAAACCACACACGCTACACTAACGTCTTCGCAATGGCACAAAGTGTAATTTCATGGAATTGCATCAATTCACTTTTGCCTAAGTAACTAAGATTGGGAATTTTCAAAACATTTAGTTACTTTGTATTTCATTATACTTATAATGGAAGGTTTCGTCCTATCCTACCCGTTCGGCTAACGACCCTCCACTAGTCAAAAGTGCGGTGGGTAAGAGTGGATACCCATTCAATCGTCATTTTATAGGCAATTTCCTTAAACACCCCTTATAGACCAGCTTCGTGAATGAGGCCTACTAACGGTAAGATTGACTTTTACTCATACATATATATAATGTTAGACTTTTAATGTTATATATATAGTATAGGGTGTATTTTACACTTTTAAAATACTAGGTGGTCAAATTTAACAATTATACTTTTAATTCAATTAAATTGCAAACCTAAACTTTTATGGATTTATTAAACTTCTTTTAATTATACACCTTAATTAATTAATAAAACCATAAGGGTGTAAATTGAACTTTTCAAAACATTACTAGGGTTTTAGAATTTAACATTCCTAATTAAACTCTTAATCAACTTTTAAATTCCAAAACTTGAGGGCAAGTTTTGAAACCTTTTTTTTTCAAAACATTAGGGTTTAAACTATTTAAATTTCAAAACAAAAAAACTTTTGGGTTCAAATTTAAACTATAAAACCTAAAGGGCAAAATATGAAACTTTTCATAACAACAAATAATTCAAATTAACATTTAATCACATAATTATCCATATTTGATTTATTTAATGATTTCTTGCAAAATAATTTATCAATTTACTCAAAATAATTAATAAATTATCTTATAAGGAAACAATTATCTTATTAATTGATAAATATCTTCATTTAGATCAAAAATATAGTCAAATATATCATATAATCAGATTAATATTGATCTAACATGATAAGGTAACTATCCATATGCAAAAACAGCAAGAAATCCCAAGATAAGCATTATCTGACGATTTGACTCGTCGAGTCAAGCCCGGACTCGTCAAGTCACCCTGGACTCGGCGAGTTCAGCTATGGACTCGGCGAGTCTAGCCTCTAAAACATCAAAAATCAAATTTTTTTAGATATACAATGCATCAATACAATTGAAACCATCCAAGGCTCTGATACCACTGATGGGTTTTGGTCATAAGACATCTTATGTGCTCATACAAACCCTAATGCTTGGATCTAGGTTTCTCTATTGTACATGCTTTGAATCCAAGACTATAAACCCTAATTCTAGTATATGAAATCGATATTAACATATGAATGGGTTTAGGAACATACCTTGATTGTTATAGAGTAATAACAATCCTAATTCCTCCTTGAATTGACTTAGGAATGCTTAGAGTCACAAGTGTCACTCCTCTAATGGCTTACAAACACCAAGAGCAAATGGAGAAGGTATAAAGAGAGAGAGGAGAGATGTTAGAATTCATCCTTAGGACTCCTTGGGAAGGGATACACGAATTCATGAACCTTGGGGCTTTATATAGGTGTTCAGATAGGGTTTCAGTCATTATCCTTATCTAGTTGCTTGCCCACCAAGTAACCATAAGATAAGTCTTAGAAATCCCTTATCCTTCATCCTTTGGATGATTTCAAGGATATCTTATCCCTTGAATTCTTCCAACCTATATCTAGGATAACCATTACCATATTTTGTAATTATCACATAATTACAATTCAGCCCCTCTAGTCTAATTAGTTACACTTGATCACAAAATTAATTCCTAATTAATTATTGACCAATATTAATTAAACAAATATGATTTCTCCTTTAATATATTATTCTTATAACATATTAATAAATCATGATATCCTCTCTCTCTTTATTTATTTCTCCAATCAAGTTGCTTTGGTGAAGGCAACTCAAAAGGACCATGCACCATCAGGTCAAGTACATACCAAAATAGTTATGGACTTAGACACTAATCCAACACAAACTTGGTTTAAAATCACAATGAACAAGTTAACACCTGAGTATTTTATCCTTCTCAAAGGCCTATTTATCGACTTTTGAATCACAACACCTGATATTCTAAATGTTTATTTTTATAAACTATTATTTATATATTTTATCACTTTACTTAGTATGACATTAAATTAATAATGGAATTAAGGAAAACGAAATATATATATAAACAGTACAAGTGGTTTGGGTATGTATAAATAGAAGTAATAACCATTTAGGGGGTGTTTGGCAAAAAAGTTTATTGTTTATTAGTTTATTAGCTTATAAGTTAATAAGTAAGTGTAGGGTAACTTATGAAAAAATGATATATTATAGGTTCCCCACCAGAATAAGTTATTTTAATCCAAACATTTTTTTAACTTATAGTGATGTGGAACCTAATAAGTTGTTTTAAGAAAAGCTTAGCCAAACACCTCCTTAATATGGTATGGTAATGCTCTTAAAAAAATAGATGTCATTTAATATTCATTTTTCGAAGTGAACACAAAATGGTTTTAATTCTAAAGATATCAAATTATTCGTCGCCCACCGCTTTGCGCGGGTAGACAGCTAGTGTCTTCTAAATAGATTACGGTTTTGTAACCGTATTTTATTTCTTCTTCAAATAAAACACGTTCAACTAGAATAGGCTTTAACGTTATTATTTTAAATGTTTTTTCAACTGTATTTTATTTTTGATTTTGTAGTAGTGAGGAGACTTTTTCAGTCAAACATAGAAAGAAAGAGACCTTGCATATTGAATTTTATTTTATTTTTTAAAAAAAGTAAATTAAAAAAAAAGCCCTCATAAATGGTCTTTAAATAGTGAAATGACGAAAATATTTTTTATTTAACGGACAAATACTGACGAAGTGAGTCATTAAGACTAAACATTAAAAGTTTTAAAACCACGTAACAATTGAGATTTTTTAAAGTTAAATATGAAACATCATATTTTATAAAACAGCCATAACCATTTATGAAGTTTTGTCCAGAAAAAAAACATATAAAAAAACAGATTTCCAACTTGCGATTTTCAAAAAGAGGTAACCCATCTCTCCTCCATCCTCGTTTTGCATAAAACCAAATCTGTCCCATGCTTTTTTTTTCCCTTCCCAAGCAGTTAAATATTTTTATCTTTTCCGTCTTGTAACCTATACGACAGGAGGGCCTCCATTTGTTCACATCCAGCAAGCAAATCAGAAACACAGTCACAGTCAAGAGAAGGTACAAATAATAATAAAATGACCCCCACCCCCCACTTAATTAACGTGCACACACCCACACTATCATCGTGGTCTGTTCCCCCTCTTATCTTTTTTGCACTCCTACTAAAGAGACCGACAGTTTAGACTTGATGTAAGATACGCAATTATGCCCCTCAAAATACGCTATCCACATTCGACACTTTGCAATTTTGCAGGGGTTTGGCCCTTTGATTTCACCCTTTTTCTCTTCATTAAATATAAAGCCGTGAACACCGCTTCAATCCCTCGTGACCCTTTTCTTTTTTTAACCGGTATCGTCTTCCTATCTAGTAACTAATACTGGGAATCAGTGTCGCTATCTGGCAACCAATACTGGAAATTAAATAAACAATTTGATTCTTCAGAATCATGAAAACTAGATTTATTTACAATTAATTCATGTTGACATGAACACCGGCAGATTTTTTTGATTTACAGACGGGGCAAATGCTGATACCAGAGGCACAGATGGTACACATGCACAGATGCCTGCAAGGAAGCAGCAACACGCATGACTCTTCCTTCCCACAATTTCGGCATCGCCTGTTCATTCCGCCGTACCTGCTCCTATTCTTTCTCTCTTCTCCGCTTTCCTCCGCTAACATGCGATCCAGGTCATGGTTGCTTCCGCAGTGTGATTGAGCGTCATCGATTGAGGCGGAATTGTTATTGAAATCGAGACTGTGATGCTGTCGCAGCTGAAGCTGTTCTTGGACTTGTTGGAGATTGTTTCGTAGGGCGTTGGCTGTTGCTTCGTTGGTTTCAGCTAATTCTCTCCATATTTGATTTTCTACGTTTAGAGATTTCACTTTTTCTTCTAAAGACCAATTCATCTGTCCGATCTTCACGATTTCATCTTCTTTGGCTTTCAGTCTCTTCATTATTCCTTCCTGGGCTGCTGCTATTAATCTCCTCGAGTTTCTCTTTCGTATCTCCTGGATCTCCGTCCTCACCTTCTCAGTCTGTAATTTGAAAAAAATATCAGTATACGAGTGACTGTACGAATCATATGTATGAAACTGAAATAGAGTTATTGGTTCTTACATGATGAGAAATGAAACGATCAATCTCCACTTGCTGTTGATAGATGTGCGACGCGATATCTTCACCGAAAAACGCGAATGTGCCATGTTCGTTTTGATTCACAATCGGAGCGTTTGGAAGGGAGAAGGGTGGAGTAAAAGAGGAAACTTGATCATCATGGCGTGGTCGTTTCCTTGGAAGGCTAGAGGTAAGTCCGCTATCTGCCTTGAAAGCAGGCGTCGGAATGGAATCCGTCATTCCGGCACCATACATCGGAATCATGGGAAGCGGAGCGATTCCATATGTTATTGTGTTGGGTTGATGATCAATCATGTCCCTGTTATCACAAATTAAAGTTAATGAACTGAATGTAAATGATAGATGAAGATGAAGTGCACAAATAGAAGACCTGTTTGGAAGAAATTGAGAAGGGTTGAGGGTCATATGTGGAGCTTCAACTGCCATTAGTAATTGATATTTGCGTTTCTTCTTGTTAGAGAAAGAGAAGGAATAACATGCAAATGAAGGCTTCAATATGCAAAGGCCGTATGAGTGGGGTTTATTTAGGGTTCTGTTTGTTTAGGATTGGAGCAAGAGTTAAAACGGGAAAAATGTTGTTTTCTTTTTCTTTTCTTTATTATAAATTAAAGAAAAAGTGTAATGTGTGTTTATTATGTTGGACTAAAAGAAAGGCACCAAATCTAATTCAGTGACTTGACTCATATGTGAGAAAAATTAGTCAATTCCGCAATATGAGGATTGTAGCGGTTTAAACTTTAAAATATTAAAGTGTACTCGGTGGGACCTTGTTTGTCGTATAGGAGAAGGCTTTTTATTCGTCCCTCCACAATCCTCATGTGTCTTTCCCCAAATTTTCTTTATTGGTATAACTAAAAGAATTTATTACTTTCGTTTGCTTAGAATCCATAGTAAAGAATACGGAGAATATCATTTTATCTTTATAAATTTTTTGTGTTCGTTTTAAAAAGTCTCTTACGTTTTTTTCTGTAGTTTACTTCTTAAACTCAATTTTTATGGTTGAAAAACATTTTTATTGTAAAAGTGAATGAGTAATCCGGTTACACCTTGAATAGAAAAAACCATGCTTCCATAGTCTCTTTTTATGCTTCCATAGTCTCCTGATCCTCCTAAATCCACTTGCAACTGTCTTACGTTTCAATCCATCCGAAAAATACTTGATAGTCCTGGATACATTAGAAAAGAAGAATATCATACTATATCAATAGTTCTAGGCAATCATCTGTTAGGAATCTGGGGTACAGAAAGTCTAGTAAATTTTAATAATTATGTTAAACACTTTCAGATTAAAATATTTGGATGGTACTCCAAATATTCTTTAATTTGATAAGACTCAGAGAGACCAAGAACAGAGAATGTTTTGATAATAGTTTCGTATGTACCGTAAAATAGAAACCAAAATCGATTTTGTGATATTTGTCTGAAAACTCTCATATGACAGATTCAAACTATCATAAAGCCATAAAAACCAACATAAAAAACGGAAGTTTGGATAAGGGTCAAACCAATGGTTAATTCTCTGCAAATTTGATTTTCTGACCCCAGCTAGGGGCTGCTGCCCCTTAGACCCCCTGCTCCCAGGGGCGCTGCCTCCGGACCCCCGTTCGTTTTGGGGCTTCGCCCCTAAATGATAGTGTACTTTGAAACTCGATCAAACTTAAACAAGTGTGTATTTTACAACTTCCTTACTTGTTTAATATTTATCAAGATCACTTTTGGTCAACAAAGCAATCCCATTACACTTAAATAATATTGATGATAACAAATTACCAACAAACCTTCCCCATTTAAGTGTAATCTTGATTAACCTAAAATGAAACATAACATTAACAAACTTATGCATAAATGAAATGTCGTGACGATTGAATTTCACATTAGTATATTATACAATCCAAATATTCGAATATCAGAGTATCACTAAGGATTTAACCCTTTCTATCCATCGTGACTACATAAAGATAATACACACAACAATTTACATTCTCATAATTTCTAACTTGACACTATATTTTACTAGCTTGTATCCCATCCTTCAATAAGCATACCAAAGCTAAGTCATAACTTCTTGAAGCAGCTAAACTTCATGTTTATATAGGTAGTCCTTTTACTCTTGCACTTGCAAATGCAATTTTTCAAAAGAACTATTAAGAATATAAATTCAACCTCCTTTACTTGCAGTACTGAACACATACCGTGAGATGATGATGATAATGTGTTCCAATCTACAAATATAAAGTTTTCCACCTTGAATTCAGCATCTAATATTACATTAGATGGGAATTGGGTATCTCAATATAAATTATTTAAGTGGACTTTAAACCCATCCCTACAGGCACCTTGTGCAAAAGATCTCTTGCTAACCCTTTGGTTAGATGATCAGCTAAATTCAACCGAGTTCTTACAAACTCCACATATATCACACCAGTCATGATGAGCTCACGAATCATGCTATGCCTAACACCTAAATGTCTAGAGTTTCCATTGTACACTTGACTATAAGCCTTAGACAAGGTTACAGCACTATCACATCTGATAGAAATGATAGATATTGGTTTGGGTCATAATGGAATTTCATAAATCAAATTCCTTAGCCATTTAACTTCTTTACCAGCAGCAGACAATGCAACAAACTCAGACTCCATGGTTGAGTTTGTAATACAAGTCTGCTTCTTAGATGCCCAAGAAATGGAACCTCCTCCAAGAAGAAACACCCAACCACTTTGTAGAGGAGTGATCATCTAAGTTGTTAATCCAGCTGACATCTGAATAACCTTCCAAAATAGAAGGATATCCACTATAAGTTAAATCATAATTCATGGACCTTTTCCAATACTTAAAAACTCTACTCATAGCTTGCCAATGATGTGAACTAGGATTACTAGTATATCTACTAATCCTTCCCACAACATATGTTATATCAGGCCTAGTACTAATCATGGCATACATTAAACAACCAATAGCCCTTGAGTATTCAAGTGAGAGACTGGAGATCCTTTATTAGGTACAAGCTTAAGACTAGTATCTATAGGAGTGCTAACAGGAGAACAATTCTCAAAGTTAAACTTTTTCAAATCTTATTGTTTCCTTTTCTAATTCTTATACCAAGAATTACCTCAGCCTCTCCTATGTCTTTAATGTCAAAACTAGATGATAAGAATTTCTTGGTTTTATCAACTTTACCTTCATCAGTACCAAAGATTAACATATCATCAACATATAGACAAATTACAACTCCTTTACTAGAAGAATCAAATTTTCTATATATATATATATATATATATATATATATATATATATATATTTGTCAGCCTGGTTTAACGAAAAACCATTAGACAATATCACATCATCAAATTTTTGATGCCATTGTACCATATAATGATTTCTTCAACTTGCACACCTTATGTTCATTACAATACATCACAAATCCTTCAGGTTGTTTCATGTAAATTTCCTCATCCAAGTCACCATTTAAGAATGTCGTTTTCACATCCATTTGGTGAATCACAAGATTATGTATAGCTGTGAGAGCTAACAATAATCTAATAATGGAAATTCTAGCAACAAGAGCATAAGTATCAAAGAACTCAATGCCTTCTTTTTGCTTAAATCCTTGAATAACCAATCTGGCTTTATACTTATCAATTGTGTAATCCACCTTCATTTTCCTTTTGAGGATCCACTTACTTTCCAATGCCTTGCAACCAGGAGGTAAATCTGATAATACCCATGTATTGTTATACATGATAGAATCAATATCATCCTGAATTGCTTTTTTCCAAAATTAAAAATCCCTAGAAGCCACAACTTCAATAAAAGTCTTTGGAACCTCCTCAATATTAAAACAATATTGATGTTGACATATAGTCTCATTCCTTGTTCCTTCAACTAGATAAAGTTGAAAATCAGATCAAAAAGACTTAGCTTTTCTAACTCTTGTGCTTTTCCTAGGTTCAGGTACAAAACTTGCGCCACCAGAAACATCTTCAGCATGATTAGTACTCTTGCTATAAGATTGATGAATCATGTCCCTTGGTCTAGGTATAGATGTAAATCTTTCTTCATCAAAGATAGCATCTCTTGACTCTATCATAGTGTTTATAGACATAGAGTCATTAGATTCTATAACATAGAATCTACATGCTTTGGAATGCTCAACATATCCAATAAAGATACAATCTACACCTCTCTTACCCAGTGTTTTCCTTCGGGTTCGGTGAGCCTTATAACTGCTCTACAGCCCCAAACTTTGAGATACCTCAAATTTAGTAACTTTTTACACCAATTTCATAAGGAGTATTCTTACTCCTTTTATTTGGAGTTCTATTCAAGATGTAAGTTGCAGTTAACATTGCCACACCCCAAAAACCTTCAATTAATCTAGATTAGGACAATATGGAATTAACCATTTCTTTCAAAGTACTATTCTTCCTTTCAGCTACACCATTTTTGTTATGGTGTATAAGGGGCTGTGGTTTGATGTATTATTCCAGTTGATTCAAAATAAATTGGATCACAATACTCACCACCTCTATCAATATTCAAGACTTTTATTAATTCATTTTTATGAAGCTTAACTTGTTGTTTATAATTTTTAAATTTATCAAGTGCTTCGTCCTTAGAATGTAGCAAATAGACATAATAGTATCTACATGCATCATCAATAAAAGTAACAACATACTTTTTGTTTCCAAGGGAGGGTGTTGCATGGAAATCACATAAATCACTATGTATTAGATCCAACACCTTGCTTTCCCTAACAACATTTTTGAAAGGTTGTATAGTGATTTTAGTTAGCATGCATGTTTTACATTTTTCATTATTTTGCATATCAAAATCAGGAATTAAACTCATTTTAGACATGTCTTTTAATCTATTGTAATGAATATGTCCTAGTCTAACATGCCATAATTCATACTTATTAAAATTATTGCCAGTACTAGTAAAAGCCATGCAAACAGAATTATCAATAGAAGGAAAATGAATATTAAGCCTAATCATTTCATTACATACATATCCAAATCCTATAAAAGAACCATGTCTTGACAAGATATACTTGTCACATTCTAATACTTGTTTGTAACCTCAATTAGGTAATGCAATTTCAGACACAAGATTCTTACGAATCCCTGGAACATATAAAACATTGTTTAAACATAAAAATTCCCCATAAATAAAGGTAAGTAAACCAAATCCTAGTCCCTTGATTGGTTCAGTTGCAAAATTTCCCATCTTCACAACAGAACCATCATCAATTGGTTGAAAGTCCTTGAACCAATATAGATCTCTGCAAACATGACTTTTTGGTCCCGAATCAACCCACCATGCAACATCATCATCCTGCACATAAAATTCTTCTAAAATCACAGAAATATAATTCTGAATATATTTAGAGTTCTGCATTAAAACAGAAATCTGACCTTGCTGCTTTTCTGGATCCTTGGATCTACTTGGTCCAACACCATCCTTGTTCCCTTACGAAAATGAAAATATTTCTTGAAGTGACCCGGTTTGTTACAATTCCAACATACCACCTTAGCCTTCTTGTTGGAAGACTTGTCATCCTTTCCTTTAAACTTCCTTTTTCCATTA